ATTCTTGCGTATGGGAAGGTGTGTGTGTGTACGAATGTGTATGTGTGATATACCGTTTCTTCATCTTGAGTGTGGGAGAGATTGTGCATACGCGTGTGTGTGTGTGACATACCGTTTCAACTTCTTGAGTGTGAGAGAGAGTGTGCGTACGAGTGGGTGTGTGTGACATACCGTTTCTTCTTCTTGAGTGTGGGAGAGAGTGTTTGTGGGGCGTACAGTGCATATCGTTCCTGTTTTGTGGAGTACATTCCTCGCGTGGCTGTCTTCACTCGCTCCACCAGACACTGCCGCAGCAATAGAGACACAAAGAGAAATATGAAACATGCACGCACTAGCAATAGAAACACAAAGAGAAATATGAAACATGCACGCAATAGCAATAGACACACAAAGAAAAATATGAAACATGCACGCATTAGCAATAGAGACACAGAGATAAATATGAAACATGCACGCAATAGCAATAGACACACAAAGAGAAATATGAAACATGCACGCATTAGCAATAGACACAAAAGAAAAATATGAAACTTGCACGCATTAGCAATAGACACACAAAGAGAAATATGAAACATGCACGCAATAGCAATAGACACACAAAGATAAATATGAAACATGCACGCATTAGCTATAGAGACACAGAGAAACATAAAACACGCACGCAATAGCAGGGGAAAGGGTTAGGGAGGGGTAGCAGCTATTGTGAATGGGAGTATACAACATGCATACATCATAAGCAAACACAAACATACAGTAACAGCACACACAAGCATACAGAAACAACACAAACAAGCATACAGTAACAACACACACAAGCATAAATCAACATACACACAGGCATACATTAACAACACACAGCAACACATAAACACCATTACACACACAGCAATGTAAGCAATTGTATACCGAACTCCATTTACATTCATACACATACGGGCACAGATCACCACACCTACCCCATGGCACAATACAAACGTTAAACCAATCTCACAATAAACAATGCACGCAAAGGACGACTAAACCCTTCAGCAGGCGCATACAGATAAACCCACTTTAACATATCCAACCACTCGCACAGACATTCACAGCACAGGAGAAACCCACTTTAACATATCCAACCACTCGCACAGAATTCACAGACAGGAGAAACCCACTTTAACATATCCAACCACTCGCACAGATATTCACAGCACAGGAGAAACCCATTTCTATATATCCAACCACTCGCACAGATATTCACAGACACACTTTAATATATCCAACCACTCGCATAGATAGATATTCACAGCACAGGAGAAACCCATTTTAATATATTCAACCACTCGCACAGATATTCACAGACACACTTTAATATATCCAACCACTCGCACAGATATTCACAGCACAGGAGAAACCCACTTTAATATATCCAACCACTCGCACAGATATTCACAGCACAGGAGAAACCCACTTTAACATATCCAACCACTCGCACAGACATTCACAGCACAGGAGAAGCCCACTGTAACATATCCAACCCCTCGAACAGACATTCACAGCACAGGAGAAAGCCATTTTAATATATCCAACCACTCGCACAGATGTTCACAGCACCACGACTGTGCGATGGCAATGGAGAGAGAGGGTCGGCGCAGCATAGCAGCCAATCTCAGATGACAACACCACAGAACACAGGCACACACCACAGACACAATACGCGTGCCACCTACCTGAGCAATAGTATCACGCAGCAAATCAGAAGTGGTTGCAACACCCCGATCCACAGATACGAATGTCTGTCCCAAAATAGACACAAACTTCTCCGCATCAGGATCTGTGGCAATGCATGCGAGAGAGTCAACCAAGGCATAGAGGGTACGACTATCATATAATAGAAGGGGTATGCCTATCATACAATAGAATGGGTATGGCTATCATATTATAAATAGAATGGCTATGGCTATTAGAGGGTGTATGACTATCATATAATAGAATGGCTATGGCTATCATATAATAGAGGGGGTATGACTATCATATAATAAAATGGCTATGGCTATCGTATATTAGA